CATCCAAGGGACAACCTTGGAAGACAAAACCATGCTTTTTGGTAAAACTTAGTGATAAAACTAAAGTGACAGCCAAATTAGAGATTTTCCAGTTTAGAGATTTTGACTTGCCAGAAGTATCCACTGTTTCCTATATGATTAGGGTATAATTTGTTTCCTACTTATCTATTGCTACATCTTCCTTTTCATGTTAACCGACGTCTGAAGCTGGCCTTGTAAAGGATCTTGCCCAAAATGATCAGCACTTTAGGCAATGGATTTACCCTGATTTCTTATCCTTGTCTAGAGCGCTCAGTGTGCTTTGCTTCACCTGCTCACTCATCATTCCCAGTTTCCTGCAGATCATTGTGATTTGCAATGTAGGTTTTGAGGTTGTGGATGAATCATCTATTCACAAGATAAATATAATCAATTTTAATTAGATTTTTGAACTAATATTCGTACACCATTTCCAAAGGACAGAAAACTAATTTGCTTATTTGATGCACTGCAAACATTGTAGACCTAAAAACATTATCTATCAAACTTTCATCATTACTGTTATGCACTCAGTGTAAATTGTAGAAGTATGAAAATGCTTCAATTGAATGGTTATTTGTGGCCGTTGCCTACAAAATCATTATCCTTTATAGTAAATCCCATGAAGTGCTTTGAGGAGGACACCTCAAAGCATATTGAATGTAAGAGTTTTTATTTATTTATGAATGCATTGATGCAAAATTCTACCCCATTTGTGAAGAGTTCAATGAAGTATTGGATTTTTTTCACCTTAAAGATTGATCAAGAAGCAAATGTTGTCATCTTTAAGGCAGCAGCTTGTTACTAAATTGGCTCGGCGGATGACTGTTCCTCCCTGGTGAATGTTCTCCCATGGCAGCACAGGAGCTAGCGATTGAAAATAATACCGGCTGTTACTGCAGTCTTGTCAGGAAGGCATAGTGTCCTTAGCAACCACCGGTTCCTGCCACTACAGATAGTGAACTGAGTGGGAGAGCGAAGAATTGAGAGAGGGATGTGGAGAAAGGGGGATGTGGAGAGAGGGTCTGGAGGGTAGGGGAGAGAGTGATTGAATGAGAGAGAGAGATAGTGGAGTGAAAGCAAGATAGAGAGGGGGGGAGAGAGTGCGTGAGCCTTAAGATAAGGGGAGAATGGGAGAGTGGATAGAGAAAAGAGAGAGTGCGTGTGAGGGAGAGCAAGAGATTGTGAGGGGATGGATAGAGAGTGTGGGAGAGTGAGAGAGAGTAAGCGAGTGAGTGAGAGAAAGAGGGGGAGATTTTGCCCCTGATCTCCGGAGTTCTATTTGTGGAGTTCCTCTGACTCCCTCCCTCCCCTCTTTCAAGGCACATCAAGACCTTTGGTTATCTTTTCCCCTTCCCATCCCATCTCTCTCAGCCTCCAGCTCAGGTGCCCAGCTGACTTTGTCAAGCTCTTTGAGATGTCCTTCCAACATAGAATCATAGAATTATACAGCACAGAAGGAGGCCATTCGGCCCATCTTGTCTGTGCCGGCTCTTTGAAAAGAGCTATCCAATTCAATCCCATTCCCCCGCACTCTCCCTATAGCCCTGGAAACTTGTCCACCCTACACGAAAAAGGTGGTGTGTAAATATTTTGTTTCTGAACGAAAACATAAAATATTGCTTATGTGGCCTGCAGACCTTTCTCAAATAGGGAATCCAGCCCTCGGCAGCCAAAAGGTTGGACCACTCTGGCCTAGGTCTTTAACTTGTAGGCAATTTTGCTTTGGTGCAAAAAAGCATCTGCTTTTTATATGTTCCTGAACTTAAATGTATAACATTGGCACCAAACATTTGCCTAGTTCATTATTTTACTAACTGGGTCGTGGAAGCGACTTCGCTGGTTAGTTGTAGCTCAGTCGGCCAGCAAGCAATGGGATACAAGGCTTTATAACCACGGGATAATAATAAACCTTGCATTTGATATAGCGCCTTATCACGTCATTGAGGTATTTCAAAGTGCTTCACAGAATATATATTGTAACATGAATTGACTATATTTTTATGTGGAAATTAAAAGCAAGTTTGTAAAGACCCGGTTAGAACTTATTTTTATGAATATTGTTTGATTCTGGGCACCCGACTTTAGAAAGAATTTGTACGTGATAGGTTAACTCTTAAAGGGTATACAGTGATACACAACTGTACAAAAAGGGGCAGAAGGATAAACCTGGGAACTACAGGCCAGTCAGCCTAACTTCAGGAACCTTCTAGAGATGATAATCCGGGACAAAATAAATTTTCACTGAGAAAAAATATGGGTTAATAAAGGACAACCAACACAGGTTTAAAGGCAAATCATGTCTAGTGTTGTCCCCCAGTGGTTGGTATTGGGTCCATTGCTCTTTTTGATCTATATAAATGACGTGGACTTGTGTATAGGGAGTACAATTTCCAAGTTTGCAGATAATACTAAGCTAGGAAAACATAGTAAACAGTGAGGAGGATAGTAGCAGACTGCAAGAGGTCGTAGGCAGACTGTAAAATGGGCAGACACGTGGCAGATGAAGTTTAATGTGGAGAAATGTGGGAGGAAGAATGAGGAGAGGCAATATAAGTTAGATAGTACAATCGTAAAGAGCGTGAAGGAACAGAGAGACCTGGGGATTCATATAAGTAAATCTTTGAATGTGACAGGACAGGTAGATAAAGCTGTTAAAAAAGCATAAGGGATTCTACGCTTTATAAATAGGAGCATAGAATACAAAAGTCAGGAAGTTATGATGAACCTTTATAAAACACTGATTAGGCCTCAGCTGGAGACTTTTGGAAGGATATCAAGGCATTGGAGAGGGTGCAAAGGAGAATTACCAGAATGGTACCAGGAATGAGGGACATCAACAAGAAGAAGATTTCATTTATAAAGCGCCTTTAATAATAATAATCCTTGCATTTGATATAGCGCTTTTCACGGCGGGAGGACGTCCCAAGGCGCTGGACAGTTGGGTTGGGACCCGAGCAGGGGGGAAATGGTCAGGGTGAGGGGAGGGAAGGGAGGGAGCGAGGAGGGGGTAGAGAGTCGAGAGGGGAGGTGAAGGCATGGTCGAAGAGAAAGGTCTTGAGACCGGCCTTGAAGGAGGAAAGGGAGGAAGCGGCGAAGGCACTGGGGATGGAGTTCCAGAGCCTCGGGCTGAGAGGCTGAAGGCCCGGCCACCGATGGTAGGGCGGTTGGGGCGGGGGATGTGGAGCAGACCGGAGCCAGAGGAACGGAGGGTACGGGCAGGTAAGTAGGGGGATAGTAGGTTGGAGAGGTAGGAGGGAGCGAGGCCGTGAATGGCCTTGTAGGTGAGGATGAGGATCTTGAATTCGATCCTCTGAGGGATGGGGAGCCAGTGGAGGCGAGCGAGGGTGGGAGTGATGTGGTCGCGGTGCCTGGTGCGGGACAGTACACGAGCTGCAGAGCTCTGAATGACCTGCAGTGTGGAGGGAGGGCCGGGAAGGCCGGCGAGGAGAGAGTTCCCATAGTCAAGCCTTGAGGTGATAAAGGCGTGGAGCAGAGTCTCAGCAGCGTGAGGGGTGAGGTAGTGCCGTAGTCTGGCGATATTCCGGAGGTGATGGAAGGCGATGCCAGTTGTGGCGCGGACTATGAGGAAGAAAGGACAGCTCAGGGTCGAACAGAACGCCGAGGTTCCTGACTGGCCTGACTTCAGTTATGAGGAGAGGCTGGAGAAGCTGGGATTATTCTCCTTGGAGCAGAGAAGGTTAAGAGGAGACTTAATAGAAATTTTAAAAATTATGAAGGGATTTGATAGGGTGAACAAGGAGAAACTATTTCCACTGGCAGGTGGGTCGATAACCCGAGGACAGCGATTTAAAATAGTTGTTAAAAGAAGGGGAGGTGAGGAGAAATGTTTTCACACAGTGAGTTCGGATCTGGAATGCATTGCCTGAAAGGGTGGTGGAAGCCGATTCGATAACAACTTTTAAGAGAGAAGTAGATAATTCTTTGGGGAGGACAAGTTTGCAGGGCTATGGGGAGAGAACGGGGGAGTGGGATTGATTTGGATAGCTCTTTTCAAAGAGCCGGCACTGCTGGCATCCGATGGCCCAAATGACCTCCTTCTGTGCTGTGTAATTCTGTGATGTTTCACAATGCAGGTGTACCTGGAAAGGAAGGCAATTTAATTTTTTTTAGGTTATAGTCCCAGGTTGAGGTTGTTAAAGGGTATCCTTTGATATAATGAAGTCAATTGACAAACAAGAGAGGAGACGACTCTCTTTGGTAGAGAACAAAGTGGCAAAATCTTAAAATTAGAGCTGAATAGGTTTAAAGTGAAACAGAAAATACTTCTTCACACAAAAAAGGTTATGGAAATCACTGTTCCCCAAAGGCTGTGGGTTTGATTGTCATGTTTCAAAGGGTCATAGACACAGGAGACGTAAAGGTATATACATAGCCCAGGGAGATTCAGTAAATAGTTTAACCATATTTAAATTTTCATTAATATTAGTAAAAAAACAACAGCTTTAAGTTTTTTTTTAAAGTGCAAGTAACATTTGCTAATTGTTGGCATTCATTACAGTAATTACAGGCTTAATCTTTAATTGATTTGGTCCACAATTGATGCAGATGATCAGTGCTGCATTAAAACCTATTTTACAACCCTTCCGAAGTTGTACAATGTCTACTATTCAATGTTAGAAAATAAATAATTGTGAAGTTTAGAGGAAACTGAACTGCAGTATTCTTTATTATATTGCTCCCTTTCTGCCTTTCTAACCGTGGTTACACTGTGTTAGTGTTTGTAAGCCATTTGGGTTGTTGTAACTAACTGTTTTTCGTTTTTCTGCCAGCAATTCTAGGTAAATGATGTGAGATGTATTTATTTAGCAATCCTAAGGCTTAAGTACGTCATAGGAGAATGTTCTCGTCTGCTGAAAAAGGAGGATGACAAATTAGAGGGAAGCATGTCTCTGGGTTTAAAGTTCTTTGTTTCATCTAAAGCACTATTATTAATTCAAGAATTATCTTAATTCCTTAAGGCGAAGTTCAGAGAAAGAGAACCCTTTCAGAAGGCAAAGAAAAAGATTATCCAAAGCATTTGAAGACCTCGGAGGTTCACCAAAATGATCACATGGATGTGAGGTCAAAAAGGCAGAGCACAGAACCTGTCCAGAAGGTGTCTTCAGAAGAGGTGATGTTTGTCTTTATTCTTCCTGGAATTGAGAATGTTGAGGTGTTGGTGGAAGGAATTTAAGTAGAGTTCCAATGTCCTGAAAAATGAGTTCAATTGATTATGGATAATATAAGTTTTCTTTTAAAGTAGGTTTCAGATCATTTTATCTAACTATCTATGTCATTACATGTAGACCTTTACATTGAATCCAGAATTTGGAGAATCATTTCAGTGCTTCTTTAGTAAAGTGTTGATATCTTTAATTTATTAGGAATGTATTTTAATACAACAAAAGAGAAATAAGACCTTGTCCAAGTTGGTGATGTAAACCTGGCTGCTTTTATTCCTAAATAACTTAATAGCATAAAATTTGTCATGTGTGTCAGGTTTCCATGTCTACTAGTTCATGAGGCTGCAAGTGATGGACTTTGTAACTGTGTTGAGGCAAACCCCTATCCAGTCTTTTGAAGTAATAGTGCTGTTATTTCCTTATGCACTGCTTAGTGAGCTCAAGCAGCCAATGGGAGAAATATTGTGGGCTTAGCAATGAACAAATGATCTATTTTAGACTGCGGCATTTGGGGATTTTTTGTGGTCATCAAAGTGAGGGCAGGTGATACTGGAAAATGGAACATTCCTTATTGAATATTCCAGCGTCAGCATTAAGCATTCCTTGATCAGGTGCTGTATGGTTATACATGGAATCAAACTTTCTCGTAATCTGATGGCTTCTTAAGGCATTGAGAGTTTTGATGAAGACGTCAGACTCATGTCATTGTTTCCTACTTCTGCTATTTGTACTACGTTGGCATGTTTATTTTGATGTGGAAGTTGAAAGAATATTAGTTAAATGGTTTATTCTTTCGGTGGATTTAAGCCTCCATATAAACCTCTCTCTCTTTCTCTGGCCTGCCATGCTCAGTTTCCGTTTTTGTGGATTTAATTCCTCAGTTTAAATTCTTTCTCACAAATATGTTTTAAAAAGAACTGAGGTACACTTCCTAAACATGAGCCCTGTGCAACAGGGGAGGGAAAATGAACAAATGAGCAGTGTAGCATTCCCTATTTTGATGATGGCCTATTTATTTGTGAATGGAGGTTGATCTATACGTTAATAAGAATAGCCATACCTACCGTAATGCAGAGAATTGAGACAATATGACCTATTTTTTTCCTCGATGCTCTGACTTAATAACTCGTGATTTCTATTGTTAGATTCAAGAAATGCTGCAAAAAAAGATTGTCGCCAGACATAATGAGATTTTGGGCAACAGCCTTGCAGAACTAACAAAGAAAATTGAAAGTATTGACTGCGGCAAGAATCACGAAGAATTAGCTAAAAGTCTTTGTGTAAGTTTTCTAAATCAGTTGCCAACTTGGTGCTTAAAATCCTAAACAATGTTTTTTTTAAAAAAAGAGTATTTCATTTGCATTGGTGAGTAACGATGAAATCGAATATCCCTGATACAATTATTTTGATCTATGTTCTAGATTTTGAGTAGTAAAATATGTCAGAACTTTTTAATTCCAGCTCACACAAAGGGAGCACAGTAAATGGTTCTCTCTTTTTCAGGGAAAGTTCTTAGAATTGTTCAGTAGTCACTCATCCTTATTCCACATTCCCTACATATTTCACTATTGGGGTGAAAAAAAAGGGACCCTGCCCCTTTTGAAGCTTTTACATACTCATGTGACACATGCTTGTCTAGTCCCCTATATATAGGAAGGGACATCATGCTAATCATCTGTTTTAAGCTTAGCTGCCCATGTAGTTTCTGGACTGATTGCAAGGCTTGGCAAAGCTTGCTTCTCTAGCTTCAAGGCACATAGTACAACTTTCATCCATGGCATACACAATCACTGCACTCCACAGTAAAATCTTTGAAGCGGTTTGAAATATTCTCCCGACGTGTTATGCATGATGTGAAATGTTATTGTTATCTTCACACATACAATACAGATTACATTTATATTGTACATTTCACGTAAGGAGGACGTGTGGAGTAAGGAAACTTGCCTAATGTTTCGCTCTGCCTGGAATCGAACTCAGGTCTCTCGCTTGCGAGGCGAGTCACTGAGCTACAGGACTCCATGTGGAACATAGAATCATACAGCACAGACGGAGGCCATTTGGCTCATTGTGTCCGTGCCGGCTCTTTTAAAAGAGCTACCAAATCAATCCCACTCCTCTGCTCTCTCCCATAGCCCTGCAAACATGTCCTCCCCAAATAATTATCTACTTCTCTCTTAAAAGTTGTTATCGAATCGACTTCCACCAGCCTTTCAGGCAATGCATTCCAGATCTGAACAACTTGCTGTGTGAAAACACTTGTTCTCACCTCTCCTCGACTTCTTTTGACAACTATTTTAAATCGGTGTCCTCGGATTACCGATTCACCCCCCCCCCCCCACCAGTGGAAATAGTTTCTCCTTGTTCACCCTATCAAATCCTCTCATAATTTTGAAGATGTCTATTAAGATTCCCTCTAACCTTCTCTGCTCCATGGAGAATAATCCCAGCTTCTCCAGCCTCTCGTGATAACTGAAGTCCCTCATTCCTGGTACCATCCTGGTAAATCTCCTTTGCACCCTCTCCAATGCCTTGACATCCTTCGTAAAGTGTGGTACCCAGAACGGAACACAGTACTCTAGCTGAAGCCTAACCAGTGTTTTATAAAGGATTATCATAAATTCCTAATGGGGTAAAAATTACTGAAACTGTTCCCTTTTTTCTCCCCAAATACTGAATTAAATTCCCGAGGAAAACATTCAGACCATCGAGTCTACCACATCAAGTCAGGTTTTATCTTTGACAGATTTTAGTCCCAATGTCACCCCCTTTCACTAGAGGCCTTAATACATCAACTACCCAAGTCTCTACCTGCCTCTTAAACATCACTATTGATTTTCTCTCTACAGCTTTCTGGTGCAGAGCCTCTGTTCCGCATCTTCACAAGTCTCTGTGTGAGGAAAGGCTTCCTGACCTTAGCTCTCACTGTCTTGGTTCTGAATAGGATTACTACTGTTATGTTTTATTAAGATGGCAATTCTACTCTTTTTGACTTATCATTTTTTTCCCACAGACCAGAATAAAACGGTTGGAAAGGAAAGTGAAAATCATGTTGGAGCCTGTCCACGCACCCGGAAAGAATCGAGATGAGGTTAAAACCTGTGGCTCTAGCGATCAGTTTTTGTATAAATCAATGACTACAATGGCTAATCTGTTTGTGGCTTTGGATTGTAGTTTTTAATCTTTCGATGATTGCGTGCGTGCTGCTAAGCAATGTGTCTTATTCCAAGTCATTTTTATTGTCCATGAGATGCTTTTTGTTTCAAATACTCCTCCATTTGCCTCCACTTTGTCTCAGACTCTATGCCCAGTACCTACCTTTTCCTTAACTGGTTCCACCATCCACAAGCTCCAGTTCACACAAAACTCTGTATCCCCACCCGCACCAAATTCTGCATGTTCATCTCCCTAGTCATCACCTTGCTCCTTGCCTCGCAACAGATTGACTGCAAGATCCTAGTATTAACATTCCTCACACTTTTGCACCTCTCTGATCTCCCTACTCTTCAGCCCAGCTAACTGCCTGTGCTTCACCATCATGGTTGATCCTTCAGTAACAACACCAACCTCTAGAACCCACCTCTTTCTACCCCTTTGTCTTTAAATTCCACCTAAAAATCTACCACTTCAACTACGCCCACCCTTTCTCCCTCGCTTAACATTCACCATCTCGGACAGGCTAGGATTGTTATCTTATGTGAAGGGTGCTATATAAATGCATGTTGTAATCTCAATTCAGTAACTGATAATGATGGCACTTAACTGAGTGTGTTTCTCAATGTTTGTATAGAGCGCTTCTACATCAGCAGCACTGCAGCAACCTGAACCATCTATGACGCCACAGTATGCTAGCACTGCCATTAACTCAACGCAGCCGGCACAGCCCATGTCACCAGGAAAGCCTTTGGGATCCTCCACGGAGCTGGTTATTCTGTCAGACGAATTACCTCACAGAAAACCCCCAGAAGTTTCGCCTTACTTTCTGTTGAAAAAGAACTTGCGGTTGCCTTTCAGAAAGAATCTACACAAGATAGGAATGGGGTATTTATACTAGGTTTTGAGCCACATCCATTGATCTCAGGCACCTGGTCATATAGAACATCTTTACGGGGATTTTGTTTTATCTTATTTGCTGATGGATAAATTAATTACTTCAAAACCGCTTCAAACTTGTTGCCATTGACACTGGTTTTGTGATATAAAGACTTGGAGGAGGGGAGAGGAGAAATTCCAGGTGGATCTAAATTTACTCTTTCCTCAGCATTTTAGAGTGTCCTAAATTTGATAAATTCTTAACTGCAGCTTTAATTTTGAGACAGGTTTTCTCTGTAAGTTATTTTAAGTAAATCTAGGCCAAAATGGAATTTCTTCCCCTTAATATTTTTGGGGTCAGCCAGTGTTTGTGTGGAAACCATCAAGACGCTTACAAGTATCCAAACCAGGTTAACAGTTCCACATATGTATGTCATCTACACATTGAAATTTCCCTGTATCTGGAATGATCCTTCTCCCAGGAAGGATGCCACCTCCTGTTTACCTAATTCTGGAGAGTATTAGGCAGGTTGGCAAGAGCCAAGGCTTGGAGACCCTGGAGTGTATGTTGGGGTGATTCCTGGGGTTTAACCAGCTAAAATCCTGACTATTAGCTTGGCTGACTGGTTTTCAGCAGCACTGTGCTGGAGTACTGGCGACTTGCCTGGCTCAGGAAACAGACAAGAGACTGCCATAGAGGGCTGACTCGATTCCGAGATTGTGTTGCCAGGGATGTAGCCTTGGATCTTATTCATCTCCAAGGAGACCTTGCTTACCTCCCCTTTCTTCCTCACCCCTCCCCCCACCCGGAGGAAAGGTAAGCCTCAGCATTTTCAATGCTGTTGCCTCCTAGAACAAAGTTCCTGTGAGCAAAATCATAGAATCATTATTCCCTCCTGTCTTGTTACTTTTGCTTTCCCTTGTCCTTCTGTCCCCAAAGAGATAACAATTCTGTACAGTGGGATTTTACCAGGTTTTGTTTTGCAAATCTGCACCAAATACTTTCCAAAATTAGATAAACCAGATGTGTGTCTCCAGGGACACTTGTGTGTGTTCCATTATAGACTCGGAAAAGTTCCATCCATAAGTAACATGTTTAGATGGAATTGAGTCTGCTTTGTATATACCCTTAAGCATGGTGATGGATTCCTGGTGTCAGACATCAGGCTGACAAAACAACCCTCTAGTTTTGTCCCTTATTCCCAACTTTCATCCAGTGCATATCACTGGCAAACAAAACTAACATTAGCTACAATACAATATTTTTACCAGGCTGACAATCCAATGCAGTGCTGCCTTTTAGATGAGATGCTAAGCCAAGGTCCCGTCTGCCTGTTCAGATGGACGTTGAAGATCCCGTGGCCGAGAATCCCCCAAATAAAACCTGTCATTCACTTCCCGGCTGTTTCAGCAACTTCGAACGTGAATGCAATTTGTTGTTTGTGTATTGCTATATACAAATCAGCTGTTACAAATCCAATCACTACACTTTACAGTAAATCCTGTAATGTGCTTTGACAACATGATAAGGTACTTTAAAGAAATGCAAGGATGATTATTACAGCTTAGTAGTAATCAGCTGTGAAATTTCCCTCTTTCTCCCACTTCTGCCCACCCCAACGATTCTTAGTGAAAGAAAAACTACACCCAGTACCTCATGTCAATGCAGATGGGAATTGTGCTTCCCATGCTAAAAGCAGCCAACTGCTTCCTCTTGTACCTGTGTGATCTAAATCACTCTGACAGCCATACTGATAACCTGAGCCTGCTTGCTGCAGATGTATTTGCACGTTGAAAGCTTTGTGTATCTGCTTCTCAGTCACTGTTGATGGCTTTGGACATGTCTGCAGAGCTTTGCTTTGCACTTTCTCAGACGAGCTGTAACAGCAAGGCACTATCTGTTACTGGGGTGAAATTCTGCAGGGCTTCTATCTTATTTTAATATCATCTTGTGCACTCTTGTAACTCAGTGGTTACAGCACTCGCCTCGCAAGTGAGAGACCTGGGTTCGATTCCTGGCAGGGTGAAATGTTGGGCAAGTTTCCTTACTCCACGTGCCTCTGTTTACCTAGCAGTACATAGGAGAACCCAGTTGATAGTCGATTTGCGATAATAATTCCTTCTGAAAATAATAATTAATAAGTCACTCAATCCAAGACTGTTTGTGGGACACATGCTGTGCGCAATTGGCTGCCGCGTTTCGCCCACAAAATATACAGTCAATTTTCTACAGAGAGAATATACTGTAGATATATTCTACAGTATATAGAATAAATATATATAAATGTATTCAGAATATACAAATATAAATATTCTGAAGCGCTTTGAGACGTCGCAAAGACGTGATAAGGCGCTATATCAAATGCAAGGATTATCATTTTTAGGATAAAGTTGGATGAATACTGAATTGGTGCAAATATCAATGTTTAGTTGATAGTGCCATCGTGTGTTTGAGATTGGTATTGCATGTAGTTTCCCAGTGATGTTTTATCTTGCTGTTGCTGTCGGGACTTTCTTTGTCCATATGATCATTTGCTGTCAATGCTCAAATCGAAAAAGGGCACTTTTGATGGGTTAGCTTTCAAAAAGACCCTAAATAAATACCTAAAATGAGCAAAGGGGTATGAGGGAGGAAAGGGTAGGTAAATGGACTGAACGGATGCTGTAAAAAGTGCCAATACAGACATAATGGGCCAAATGGCTACCGTATGTACAGTACATTTCTATAGTTCTATATTGCAGACATGCATCAAGATTTTCCCCTCCACCCAGCTAAATAATGTCATTCCTAAACTTGAGTAGTGATCACATAACAAATCAAAGAAAGCAGGGCTGTTACATTCCCCAACAGATGTTGTCAAGTGTCAATTATATCTGAATAGATGCTTTCATCCTTATTCACTTGTCTGTGGATACCATGGCTTAATGTTAACAATTCCTTTTTTTTTCTCAGCGGCTCAAAATCTGACCCCGATGGTGCAAAGAGCATTTTTCCACCACCAAGACCTTTGGAAGGTACAACTCCCATCAGCTATGGTAATTATTGAACACACTGCCTCTTGATATGAAAAAGGCCACATTTTAGTATGCCTGCATGATAATGTGTTAGTTCCAATCTGTAAACTCATTAATATAGGATTTTGCACACAAATAGAGTGAAGTGCTAGAAATGTAGATTGCCTTTCAGCCAAGACTGCTTGGGTAAGCCTGAAAAAGCCACATGAGAAAAGAGTGATTGACCTCCAATACTGATGCATACTCTCAATGGCCAGCTGAGAGCAGCAAAGATCTGAATATTGGTTCATTTGCAGGCACTTTGTTAAAGGACAGGGGAGTAAGGGTAAGATTTGAAACAAACCAATTTATTAAATGGGGCTGTTATAATATAATTTAATTATTTCCTGTAGGTTATAATTGTTTAATAATAATAATAATCCTTGCATTTGATATAGTGCCTTATCATGTTTTTGCAATGTCTCAAAGCACTTTACAGAATATAAACTGTAAGCATCTAGTAGACAGTGGAGCAAAGTGTGCATGTAGCAGACAACTGGAATGAATTTCAGACTTGGATTAAAATACTTTCTGATCATACTCCAGTGCTTGTGGACCGTGATCTAGCCATTTCTTAGCCATTTGGCCCCAAAAGACTTGGCCCTGTGTCTACTTTGTCTTCTAGCAAAAGGATAAGTGCCTCCTTGCCTTCCATGTTATTTGAGAGCCTACTACTCAGCATTATTAACAATAAAATAAAAATTAATAATAATACTGGTAACACTGGTAACCTTCTGACGATAGTGCAGGGTTTTTCATCCTTTTCATTCACTCAAAAAATTTCTTAAATCTTTTTAACTGCATGAATGGGCACATCCCAACTGTGATGGGACCTAGCGTTTTAGTAACAAACCTGGACTGAGTTCTCAAGTGATATCTGACCCACATAATGCATTGGCTACACATAAGTAGTACAGTATCTCATTCTTTGAATAGCACTCCAACCCAAAGGAAAACTGGATCACGCCACTGACCATATAAATGATGCTTTTTAAACTGTGCCACATTAAAGGAGAATTGTCGTCTCTTCATTGTTTAAAACATTAGCAATCCTCCTAACATAAAGTGCAGCTCCAGAGCTGACAAGAAATAATTCAATTTTCTAATTATGATTTCTGTGCAATCGGCTAGAAACTTACAAAATAACGTCAGTTAATAAATTATTTATTCCCAGGCTGTCTTCTCAGCATTTCTGAAGGTAACATTACTGACAAAGATGTAACTATAATAGTATATTAGGGGAACATAGACATTTCTCTTTTAAAGCATTTATGACTATGGACAATTCAGTGAAATGTTTTCCCTTGAGTTTGATTATTGATTAGAAAGCCAGAATTAATAGTGGAATTTATCTTTGATTTTATTTTTCAGTTATTCCAGATATTTTTTTAAAAGCAGCACAAAGGAATGAGGGGTCAGGTCCTGTGACTTCAGAGGTTGAGAGTAAGGAGGATGAAGTTGAATCAAGCCAGGTAGAGTTTGTGTTTTGAAATCATTCAATGAAGATTTGCTATTTGAAAACAATATGTTTTAATGTATATTCTGGAAATGCTATAATGGCTCAGCAGGAGGTTCACTGTTGGAAATTGTTCTTCCAGACTTCTTTTATAAAGCATCCATAATGGTGTTCCTTTACTCGTTGCCCTAAAATGTAAACTTGTAATCAAGGAGATAACTCTCTGGAGGAATGAAGCAAGCCCTCAGCGGAGTAGTGTTCCCTTTTTTTTCCTGGCCTCGCAAAGCCTAGGGCTGGCAGAGGCAGATGGATGGGTGGTTGGAGGGATTATTGGTCAGAGATGAGGGGTCCTGCTCTGCCCTGTCCATAGACCAGGGGGAATGTGATTTGGACAGTGAAGATGGTTTGACTAGTCTGAGATGATTCTAGTATTTTGAGTTGGTTCTAGTCCATGAGCAAATTCTCACCAAAGGAACTTGCTTATTGGATGACAAGACTGGCATGGATGAAGAAGGTCCTTTGTGGGCCTTCCAGAGCACCCAACTTACAGTTTCCACCCATCACAGCATCAAGCTGTTTAAAGAGTCTTACTCCGGCCTCAACCACTCTCCCTGGTAACCTGTTCCAGTTACTAATTAGGCTCTAAGTAAAGCAAAATTTCCTGGTGCCCCCTGAAATTGTCCTTTACAGCTGTAAACCTGTGTCCTCTTGTTTGCATCTCATAATATAGTCTGCAGGTCCACTAGAAGAGTCCAAGCACAGAGCCAAGGGTAACAGTAAAGGAGAACTGCCAAGAGTAGCAGGTAATACTAGAGCTGAATGTACTCGAAGGTTTTTTGTATAGTTGGCGATTACATTTTTTTTTCCAGACCAGTGACCTGACAAACAGTGAAGAAGTAATTGACCTAACGGAAGACAATGAAGAGTGTATTAGCCGACAAAGCAAAAAAATGGGTACAGTAATCCCTCAGCCTGTTGTGCAGAATAGAAGACATGAAAAGCACTATATCAAATGCAAGGATAATTATTATTGTTATAGTTATACTGCCAATCCAACCTAGTTTTCTGCATATTTTATTTGTATCTATATTGGATTGCAACCTCAATTTGTCAGCCAATTCGCATCCCACATCAGCCTGGCGCAGTTTGTAGCATTCTCGTCTGATTCAAATGGCTCTGGGTTAAAGCCCACTGATGGTCTCGGCTAGTGTGGTCCAACTGGTGGCCCACGGGCCACATCTAGCCCGGCGGGTGATTTTATCTGGCCTGAGACTATTTCCAACATTCCAACTTCCTCCTTATGAATATCCTCCCATAGCAGCAGCAGGAGCCGGCTGTTGGGAGGATGCAGTGCGGAGAGCAAAAATAATATTGGCCATTGATGCAATGTATGTGTGTGAGAGATAGGTAAGAAAGGGGGAGTGAGAGGGAGAGACTGAACGGGATGAGGGAGAGAGTGATTGAGAGAGGGAGAGAGCAGAGACAGTGAGAGGGGATAGAGAGAGAGTGGACGAGAGGGGGCGTGAGATGATAATTTATCTACAGTATATTACAAACCAGTGGCACTGAAGAAACAAAATAAACCATAATCCAGATCACCTCCATTTAAAAAAATACATTCTACTCCTTGCCTCTGTCTCTTATTGTATAGATTTAAATAATGCCTACAGCTAATCTTTCTTAAGCGAAATTATTATCAGGACTAGGCGAGCAACTATTGATCTTTAATATTTTAGGTACATTAATATTTCAGCTTTTTCTAATATCAAAATTTCAGATGCAACCACTGCAGGAAAATGCTTTCTAAATGTATGAGACTTTGCCTCCTGTGGATTCTGATCATTACTTTGTATAAAAGGGAAGTTCATGAGGAATTAATAAACCACCAAAGACCTAATCCATCCTAGGAATCTTTGTTTAGCATATTTCTCTCAGTGGGTGGCATTTCATACTTCATATAAATATGAGAGCTTGTCTGATGTCTGAGAGAATTTCTTTGGAGGTGGGGGGTGGGGTGCGGGGGTTGAAATCTCTGCCGTGTTATCTTATGGACAATTAACGATCTCACCTCATAACAAAAACAACAAATTAAATTTTTATAACCTTTCAGGTTGGGAGGATGTCCCAAGACGTTGGACAGTCAGGGATTTGGACACGAGCAGGGATTATTATCAGGAGGGGTGGAGGGAAGGGGTAGGAGGGTGACCTAAGTGTAAAAGTATTTAGTTTCAGGCTGACTCAGTTGATAGCACTCTCGCATCTGTGTTAGAAATATGTGGGATCAAATCCCACCTCGGGGATTTGATCTGGCTGGGCTGACACTGCATGCAGTGCTGAGGGGAGCGCTGCATGGTTGGCGGTGTAAACTTTACAGTAAACAATAACTTGTGTTTACGCAGTGTCCCTCACGCAGTGTGGCGGAGCATGACTCCGAGCCAGGGGTGGGTCGGAAGGGGGAGGTGACCGTAGGCACGGACGAATAGGAAGGACTTCAGGCACCACCTGAAAATGGGGAAGGACGGGTAAGCAGGTCGGAGAGGTAGGGAGGTGCGAGGCATGAAGGGATTTTAAAACAAGTGTGAGGATTTTGAAATCGACCAGTTCGGCGATGGGGAGCCAGTAGAGCTTGACTAGAACAAATAATAATAATAATCCTTGCATTTGATATAGCGCTTTTCAGCTCTTCTCGACATCTAAAAGAGCTTCGCAGAATATACTGTAAAGTGAATTGACCATATATTTGTGGGCGAAACGCGGCAGCCAATTGCGCACAGCAGCGTCCCACAAACAGTCGTGGATTGACAATGACCAATTTTTATTATTGTTTTGTTTTGGAGGGATTATTATTATTAGGCGTGTGGAGTAAGGAAACTTGCCCAAGATTTCGCCCTGCCTATAATTGAACCCAGGTGTTTCACTTGCAAGGCGAGTGCTCTAACCACTGAGCTACAGGTCTCCAGTTAACCAGAAGATTCCAGCAGTAAAATATTCCAGCAGTAAAAAAAAGACTTGTGCACTAATGAAGGTGTTTGCAGAATAGGATTGATTTGGATCCAGTTGTACAGAGGTTTGCGCTGTACTGGTGTGATGGGAGTTAAAAATCCTGTGAAGTGCACTGAGATATTGCAAATACAGAATAAGGCGCTATATTAAATGTATTAGTTTAAATGTATTGCTGTATTGGTTTACCATTCAATGTCAGTAGAGGCAAGGCATTAAATTGACTTGATTTATTTTTCCCTGGCCTTTAACTGGCACAAACCATTGTTTGCAATCCTCAATTCACCAGAGCTGGATTTGGAAAACATTGGCTGGTTTGTTCTCTGTTTGAAACTATTAACAGCAAGGTTTGGACCATTCGAGATAGAGAAAAGTACAATACGAGTTTAAGCAATGCTGAATTCACTTCAATGTGCAGCTTTCACCAGAATGGATGCTGGCAGACTGCTGCTATTTTAATTCACAGCAGAGGCAAAAGAAATGAGTGAAATCTCTTTGTTCCCCTGCTCGCCTGAAATGTAATCTGAGCACAGGAAAGGGCTCAGGCTGTAGGCTGATGGAGAGAACCTTTTAAAACCACTGGTATAAATTTAAGGCCAGCTTCTAGGTAGCTTTATTTCTGCCAACATTTGAAATCTGGAAATTCAAGACACCGATTAGTACCATTTACTGAATTAACCTTTCGCTGTTTCTTAAAAAGCACTGAATCAGCGTGTAAATTCCAATGTGAATCTGGAGTGAGCTGCATTGTGGTGAAGCCATGTGAGGAGGTGGCGCTATCGGGAGATTGACACACCAGTGGAGTGTTAATGCAGGCAGAAGCAGTACGCATCTGTTATGGCTTTTGCTTACAAAATGTCTCTTGGACCTCCCAGGAGCCTTTTTAAGTCACCATTTACAATAGTGTTAAAGAGCTGCGACAGATTCTTTAACACTAAAACAGCACAGTTCTGTTTGATTGCATGCACAAAGAACTCTGCAGCATCTGGTAGGAGTGATTTGGAACAGGAAGTATAAATCTTGCTTCCCACTCCAAATTCTCTACTGCTGGAATGCTGCGTTGCTTCCAGCAGTATAAACCAGCCATCAGAATAAAACCCAGACCTTGGAGTCTTGCCCTCCTACAGTGTCTGTTTCCAGTAGTACGGCATTAAATGGTATTTAACCTGTGCAAAGTTCTGTGGATATATTACAATAAAGAATATGAAGTTAATATATTGTTAAAATGTTGTGCATTAATAAAACTGCTGGATTTTTATGCATACGTTTTGAAAAAGTGAAAGTTCTTTGCAGTAATATCTTCAGCGTGCGCTGTGGACGACCTGATTTATTGTCGCACATTTGGCTTTTCTCTTTTCTAGTGTCTCAGAGCCAGATTGCTACTGCTCCAGATGACATGCAGCCGTCGCTCATTCACTCGCCTGCTGAGGCTGTTGCCAATCCTGGGCCAATGTCACGCATCACTGGGCCTGAACCCGCTGACTTTCACAGTAAGAGACAAACTGCAGTGAGCGCACAGGTGGCAAAGACTGCGGCCACCCCAATAAGTTCAATAGGTAGGCAACACTTTTATTGATACATTTCAGTGACAAACTCCTGTAATGGACGGCCAACTTGTGGCCGCATGACTATTCTACACATGCGTCATGCGGCCCCTGAGCCATCCCTTATGACCTCGGTCCCGTTACCAAGTACTTTAACCCAATTCTTTAAGGTTGTGTGTTTTTTTTCTTCCCTTCGCTCTTCACCTCGGATGTACTATAACTTAAAGTGAATTCTACAGCTAATAGTCTAATGTAATAAATCTAAGCACTTTATACTGACAACTCGTGTAACTTACTGACTCATAGGGAGTAGGGATGGATTGAAGGCTGCACCTATTTTGGACCCACATGAGTACAGTATAACCTACAATTGGAAGATTTTTGGAGCTAAAGTTACATGATTGTTAACATTTTTGCTTAATCCTTATCACACCTCAATTTGCTCAATAAGCAACTAAGAGTCCATTGTTCTTGTTGATAGATAGTCCATTGTAGAATCATAGAATTATACAGCACAGAAGGAGGCCATTTGGCCCATCGTGTCAGTGCCGGCTCTTTGAAAAGAGCTATCCAAATCAATCCCACTCCCCCACTCTCTCCCCCATAGCCCTGCAAACTTGTCCTCCCCAAATAATTATCTCCTCTCTTAAACACTGTTATCGAATCGGCTTCCACCACCCTTTCAGGTATGCATTCCAGATCCGAACAACTTGCTGTGTTAAAAAAAAATTCTCCTCACCTCCCCTCCGTTTCTTCTAGCAACTATTTTAAATCGGTGTCCTCGAGTTACCAACCCACCCGCCAGTGGAAATCATTTCTTTGCCAGTGGAAATAGTTTCTCCAACTTGCCCTGCTCATTGGAATCCCGTGCTCCTCCCTATCCAAACTGAAGACAATCCAAAACTCTTGTGGACCCCATGAGCTTTCTCTCACCAGGCTCCACGAATCTGACACCCTCAAATTTGCATGGCTCCACTGGCTCCCCATTTCCCCCAGTGGATCAAATTTAAAATTCTGGTTCTCATCTTCTGGGGATCTGAACTCAAGTGATATAGCCCAGCATCCTGTTTGCTTTGTTTATTGCTGCCTCACACTGATTTGATAAGAAAATCCACCTACCATCAATTTCACGATGCCGAAGCAAACTATTAAGTGGAGTGGAGTAATCCGCTTTCTCTTTAACTCTCTCAATCTTAACCTCCCGACAATTTAATGTTTTACTTTGCAGCCCAAAATACTAGAAAAGACAAGTATTAAATATTGCTATTTAATCACCTCAGAATGTCTGAACAGTATCATTCCCATTGGTTTAGGTGATCCTGCTGCAGATATTGGAAATAAGATTGTGAAAGATGATCCAAATCGAGTCATTTCTACCACAGATCAACAATCACTGTCGGCTCAGGTAAGTAAGGGTGTTCATAATATAGAGATTGAAACTAATTCTTGAGTATTTCTTATACATGAAGACCTGATAGTGCAGAAAGCTCCCAATAAGCCAACTGGGAAACCCTGAGTAAACCTTGTTGCTGCAGTGCCAGCAGAATGTTCAGAATTGTGTTACCAGGTGGCCAGTCCCATGTCCATGACAATAGAGTAGTCAAGGCAAGCCCACTACTCTGCCTTCTCTACTACCTGCATCAAGTTTCTCCTGGCTTCTAAAATTTGATGACTTTTTAGTATTTGAACAGAACTGATGAGGGAATTGCATAGGAGCATAACAGAACAGGAGGAGGCCATTTAGCCATTGTAGAGTCCTGTAACATTGGCAAGAACATTTGCTTCGCAAGTGAGAGAACCTGGGTTCGATTCCCGGGCAGTGAGAAACCTGAGGCAAATTTCCTTAATTTAATCCTCTGTTTACCTAGCAGTAAGTAGGACCCTGGTTGTTAGTCGATTGGCAGATCACTTTCCAGGGGTAATAATCCCTTCAAAAAAATAAGTAATTGGTCACTCAATCCACAACTGTTTGTGGGACACTGCTGTGATAAAGTGCTATATCAAATGCAAGGAATATTATTATCAGCCCATGAAGCCTGTTCCACCGGTTAGATTTTTGCAAATTATTTAATCTCAATGCCCTGCCTTTCACATATCTCTTAATGTTTCTCTTGTCAGTTCTTAAAATTTGAAGGCAGTAACAATTTGACTCATTGCTAGTTTCTTTTGTTTCTTATCTCTGCTGCATTTCATGGGAGGCAGGAGATACCCAAATCTTAATTTAATGTCTAATCTAAGCAATTATCTGGCCAACATGGGCAGAAGTCGGCTGCCTCATTTGATGCTACTGAAAGATTTGATGTTAATCTAAAAGCAGGGAAGTTTTTTTTTAGAAAAGTGATTAAATGTAATTGTCTGTCCGGTATTCTAAAGTGAAATATGATTGAGATGTTTCGCCATCATATTATGTGAAGCACTTTGGGACATCTCAATGAAGTGATAAGGCGCTGGATCAAATGATTATTATGTACATTGGCAAAAAAATCAGGAGAGAGAATAACTGTATAATATAATGTTGTGTAGGTGGTCACTCACTGTGTTACACCTTCACCCCGGGCAGACACCCCAGAAAGCTCAGAGTTGCTTCTTGAAGCTCAGGAGACTAATCCTCCCCAGAAACCTGAACTGAACCTGATACAAGTGGAAACACCAAAAGGCATTGTACTCTCTTGGAACGTTCTGGATGTTGACCAAACATGTGCCCCAGTGCACAGTTACCAGTTGTATGCATACCATCGAGACATCAATTTGAAGTGCCCATCACAGTGGAAGATTATTGGAGAAATCAAAGCCCTTCCTCTCCCGATGGCGTGCACTTTGATTCATTTTCTACTTGACAGCGTATATTATTTTGCAATTCGAGCAAAGGATATTTATGGACGCTATGGCCCATTTTGTGAAACGCAAACTATTTCTTTGCAATCCGGAGCAAATACAGAAGAACATTCTTTATAAAAGATCTTAATTGTTTCACATTTGACCCTTGTTTTCATTTGTAGACGGTTAACCATTGATTATGCAAGTCACATAACAAAGTGACAGTAGTTAACTGAAAGAGCCATAAAGAGTTCAGATTTAACTTTTGAGAACTTCTTGACCTGTTTTTTGTATTTCATGACAAATTTTAGTGAATGGACAAATTGTGTTCAGTATTTACCACAGTAGTATTCACACTTTGAATAACAGTAGATTCAGAATAGGACCTTAGAATTCAAATTTTTGGACTCGCGTTCCATTTCAGAGTAGTTTCTGTTAGTATTTAGCTAAACTTTGCATCTCTCTTTAAGAGCTTTTTCAAGTTTAAAAGCTTATGTTTAAAACAGAAAACATTCTTCTTTTAGACTTTGAACTGTTCTCTATCTTTTGGTTCTTCTGTGTTCAAAATCCATGGTGAACATAGTCATAGACAATGAAACTAAAATTTTAAAAATACTGTTCTAAATTATATTTTTTTTAAAAAGTAATCTTTCATTTAACTGAGTTTTAGATGTTCGTAATAGCAGCGGAGATTTCAACATTTCCAGAGTTTCTCCCGGTGTCCTAGCCAACAATTCTCCCAAATAAAATTGGTCACTCATTTCTGGCTGTTTCTCACGTTGCTGTGAGAAAATTGGCTGCTGCGTTCTCCCACAAAATACGCACAATCACACCAATTACAATATATCCTGTGAGGTGCTTTGAGATGTTTAACATCAGGCACCATATCAAATTCAAGGATTATTATTTTATAGCTCGCAAACCGAAAATAGGGTATCAATTACTGTAAGAACAGTAAATGAATTTTGTTCAAACGCAAAATTACTGCAGATGCTGGAAATCTGAAACAGAAACAGAAGTCGCTGGGAACACTCAGCAGGGCAGGCATCTGTGGAGAAAGGAAAGTGAGTCAATGTTTCGGGTCCACAACCCTTCGTTAGAACTGGGGCATGTTGGGAGGGAGAGGCTTTAAGGGGTAACAGAGAGGGGGGAAGCAGGGCAAGGAAGATAAAGGAGAAAATGGGGTAGAGGGCAGGGGATGATGAGTTAATGATGCAAAACAAAGTGGTGGGGGGGAATTTCAACAAAGCAGGGGAATAGAGTTGTTAATGCAAAACGGGGGGAATTGCAACAAAATAGGAAGACCAGAGAGAGATAAGGTGTGTTTGGGACCAAGGTGATGTGGTAATGGTCACAGAAGAGGGGGAGGAGGAAGGTAAGCTGTTATGGTCTGAAATTGTCTCCTTCCTTGCCCTGCCTTTCCCCTCTCTGTTAGCCCTTAGAAGCCTCTCCCTCCCAACATGCCCCAATTCTGAATAATAATAATAATCCTTGCATTTGATATAGCGCTTTTCACGTCTTCTAGACGTCCCAAAGCGCTTCACAGAATATACTGTAAAGTGAATTGACTGTATATTTGTGGGCGAACGCGGCAGCCAATTGCGCATAGTAATGTCCCACAAACAGTCGTGGATTGAAAATGACCAATTTATTATTGTTTTGGTTTTTGGAGGGATTATTATTAGGCTCTGTGTGGAGTAAGGAAACTTGCCCAAGGTTTCGCCCTCTGCCTGGAATTGAACTCAGATCTATCATTTGCAAAGCAAGTGCTCTAACCACTGAGCTACAGGACTCCACGAAGGGTCATGGACCCAAAACGTTGACTCAAATAAATTAATTTTGTTTCACTATTGTGCTGGCAGCTTAAAATTGAAGATGTTTTGCAGAGAAACGACCAGACTTTAGGTGCTGGCTGCAACACTATTTTGTATCCTGTATCCTTCTGAAGTATTTCTGTGAGTCGGTCATTGCTTGACTTTTCAATGAGACTAATGGTGTGAAATATTTACCCAGTTTGTAGAAACTGATATGACAATAGGATGAATTACCAGTGGTAATTGGTGTTTTCTTCTGTTTCTATTTTTGCTAAAAGTCCACAGTCAAAATAAAACAATAAAAATATTGCATTTGTGTTTGGCGTGGCTTGCAAATTAATTTAGGACAATTGAGTGTTTGCTGGTCTGATGCTTCTACATGTAATCTATAATTTTGCGTAAACGACAAACAACAACAATTTGCACTTATATAGCGCCCTCCACGCAGGGCAGCGTCTCGGAGCGCTTAACAGTGGCAGAGCCTGACTGAGCTGGGGGTTGGGAAGGTGACCAAAAGCACGATCGAAGAAGAAGGTCTTCAGCCAGGACTTGAGAGAGGGGGCAAGGCAGAGGTATTGAGGGAGAGTGTTCCAGAGTTTTGGGGTGTAGTGGCTGAAAGCGCGACCTCCGATGGTGGGGCGGAGGAGGGTGCGAGGGACGAGCAGGAGGCCGGTGCCAAGCGAGCGGAGGTGCCGGGTGGTGGATTGGGGAATGAGGTGGTCGAACTAGAAAGGTGCCAGAGAGTGAAGATATTTGAACAAGTGTGAGGATCTTGGAAGCCATAAATCCTGAACTTCATATTTTCTTAACGTGAAAGGCACTATACAAATGTAATTTGTTGTTAATTTGTTGTTGTTGGGAAGAGTTTCACAGTTATCAATTCCAGAATCCAGATGTAGAACATTGTTAATTTTACAGCCAGTTGATCTATCACCCCACTCGTCCAAACGGTTGCTCCAATTTATGTTTTACAACTTGACCTTGTTTTCAGAGAAACCTGATTAGATGGTAAAAGGGAGGCAGACAGACAGACAGACTGAGAGAGACGGACTGAGGGAGAGCCAGAGAGAGGGGCTGAGGGAGAGCCAGAGAGAGGGGCTGAGGGAGAGCCAGAGAGAGGGGCTGAGGGAGAGCCAGAGAGAGGGACTGAGGGAGAGCCAGAGAGAGGGACGGAGGGAGAGAAACTGTGAAAGCAAGAGATAGACTGATAGCGAGCTGAAATGCGCTGAAAGTACCTTCAGAAAAGAGTTTCTGGAATAGAGATTGTGGGAGTTCAAATTGTGCCTTTTGTTCCACTTCTGTCTCCAAGTCGTTTCATAAAGAACTGAAGGTACAACTAACATTTGAGTCTGATTCTCAGTTTCCATTCATTCTGACTGTGTGTGTATAGTTGGGTAGATTTTAAATGCTGCAGAATATAAATTTAGGTTTCTCTAAAGTCTTTAAGAGTTACCAACTGTAGAAATGTTAATTCTATTTGTTGCTTTTTTATTAAACATTTGTATACAGAAAATGACATTGTTGTAATTGGATTAAACTTCAATTTTATTTTAAAAAAAGTATCTGTTTTAATTGTTTCGGAGTTTGCATATCCTCGATAGGGAAACATGGCATTGCCTTGACACCTGCTCAAGGTGATGATGTTCAGCAACATTCCATATGCCAGGAGGAAACATTTGCTGCTCGAGAGGGACCTGTTCTATTGGAGAGTTTTCTAGTTACACCCGTGTAATCCAATTAGTCTGACTCAATTGGTAACACTCACGCCTTTGAGTTAAAAGGTTGAGGGTCTGCCGTCCGCATTCTTACCGCACCAAACTCCGCTCCCCGATTACCCCAGTCCTTGCCAGACTGCACTGGCTTGGCTGCCTGTCCCAGAGAGGATCGACTTCAGGATCCTCACCCTGTCTTCAAATCCCTCCACTCCTCCGCACTCTTTGACCTCTCTCCTCACAACAGTGCCCGCCGTTGCCTTCGTTCCATCCAGGTCTGGCCTCCTCCTTGTCACCCGAATCCTGCACTCCACCCCACCATCGACAGCCGTGCCTTCAGTCACTATGTCCTGAGGCTCTGGAACTCCTTTCCTCACTCGCTTCGCCTCGCCCCCTCTCTTCCTATTGTCAGGTCTCGGCTGAAGACCTTCCTTTTCGAACGCACCTTTGGTCACCTTCCTCCCCTCCCCCTGGGCTCGGCCCCGGGATCCGTTACTGTGAAGCGCTCTTGAGACGCCTTCCGGCATGGAGGGCGCTATATAAATCCAAGTTGTTGTTGTTGAGGGCACAAGCCCCACATCTGGACTTTTGAGTTCATATGCTGATGCTGTGTGTGTAATGTTGAGGTCTGATGCTGGTGTGTAATGTTTTGAGAGCCATGCATTGGAGGAGGTGCTGTCCTTCAGATAAGACTTTAAATGACGTCCTAGAAGGAAGTTTCTCCTAGTATTGTGGCCAAACATCCCCCAGGTAAAATTGGTTGGTTGCATTTGCCTGCCACTACAGTCATACACTTTGCAGTAAATCCTGTGAAGCACTTTGAGATGTTTTGACAATGTGATAAGAACCCAGGCCTCCAAGTAGGGAGTGTATATCAGAACTGAAATAGTTTGATACAAACAAGTGGATAACCTCGCATATCACAAGGTTCTGTGTAGGTAACCAACCAAGGTAATAATGAGTGGAAGCATCTGCAGGTGCAGGGTCCTCTTTGATCTCAAGCTTGTATGAAATTATTTGGTATGGTCAGAAAGCAGAAGGGCCCAACAGTCAAGTGAAAGACCATAAATGAATGCCACACAAAGCTAAAGGCTGTAACATGGAATGTTGTCTGGCTCCGGCCTCCTTGTTCCCCGAATCCTCCACCATTGGCGGCCGTGCCTTCAGCCATTACACTCTGAAGCTATGGAACGCCCTCTCTCAATCCCTTCACCTTGCCCCCTCTTTCCCCATTTACAGATTGCGCCTGAAGACCTTCCTCTTCGCCCGTGCCTATGGTTACCTTACCCCTCCCCCTCCCACTGGCTCAGCACCGCTCTCCACCTTTGTTAAGCGCTCTGGGATGTCGCCCGGTGAGGAGGGCGCTATATAAATGCAAGTTGTTGTTGTCTAATTAATCATTTCACGTAAAATAGCAAAATACTGTAACATCAAAGGGCAACATTATTTAATGTGGCTTTCAAATCCCACGGGAATTTTCAGGTAATGCCAACTCCAAAGTGCTTCAATGCATTAATTAAGAGTCTTTGAGACCTTTACAAATGTCAAAGACTTAACCCTGTGGACAATGAAATAACCACTCACCCATACTTTAAACCCAGGTCTGCTCGTTGCTGTGTGTGTGTGTGTGTGTGTGTGTGTTGCAGTTTTAATGCTGTTGTATTTCAGGTCACCCTGGAGGTTTGGAAAGGAGACAGATGAGCGAGGAATGGTATGAATTGTTTTTTGAAATTCATAAAATCACATGGATAGTTACAGCACAGAAACACACCATCTGTACTGGTTTTTATACTCCATACAAGCCTATGTGAAGGTGCTGTATAAATAATTTGTTATTGTTGTACTTACTGTGTTAGTCC